GGCAGTTCGGAAAGCCGTAAAACACTAGAACCAAAATTTATCTTCCAAATCGGCACCCTTAGTCCCCACGGAATCAACGAGCGCTTTTCATTCAACTAATTTATTCCTGTTTTCTCGTCACCATATTCCCACCAATGGCGTAGCTCTACTTTCTGCTTTACGGTGGCTAATTTATGTTTTCAACCCAGTTGTTAACACTAAATTACCTGCTATACTCTCCCACCGACGAGAAACTTACCCCTTTATTGGGAGTGAAAGGGTTAACTTGCTGATTAATAAGAAAAACCTCAATGTGTTTTTCTTGCTTTTATCATTCTAAATATTACAATGTTTACTTTTTTTTATGATTATCTATTTTTTGTGTCTATCATTTACCAGCTGATATTTGAGGAGAATCAAGTCCACATTTATGATTGACACATTGTAGGCAAACAAGACAACTGATTAAACTTCATTTGACCAAAAACATGAAGGGCAATAGAGGAAATTAGCTAGTGCAATTCAAGTTTCCCTTCTTAAGTATTTTGTGTTTTTTTCTATCATATGGTAAAGTTCACAGTTTCCCTCATTTCACTGTCTTCTGTTCATTTGTTTGTTTGCTTTCCTAACGATCTTAACTATTGTTGCTAATAAATACCAGGAGGACATAAAATGTTTGCAGCATATAAAATGTGAACAGTTATTAATGACATTATGTAATCAGTTTTATAAAATTAATGAAGAGTATTACTTGAATATATGATTGCAGTAAGTCCAAGTGCTTAGTAAACATCGTTCTTTGGTCTTCTATTCTTCCACCTTGAAGGGTGCCTTATATACATAAATATTGAAGTTCAGTGCCTTCGGTAACTTTTATGGCAAAGAACAACAGCTATACCAAAAATTACTTTTAAAGACACCTCTACAATGGTAGGTATACACAACTTACATGTAAGAGTGAAGCATGTCAAGCATTAAGGCAGCTTTGAAAACTTTTGTATCTCCCCTTTCAAAAAAAGGCATTTCCCATAAAAATATAAAACATTAAAGACATATTAAGGTCCCAGCAACAGGTTTTCCATTGTTAGTGTCTCATAAGATCAGATTCATTCACATTTTTTTTTACATTTGAAAGCCTAAGTATGTTTTAATAATTACAACAAAATAAAATCCCCCATTTTAACCCTTTCACTCCAAATATCTCATTAGTAATTCTCCTTACTGTCTGCCGAATGATTCTCATTATGTGAATTTCAAGAATTTGGTATCATATCAGTAAGTAATCCCATAATTGATATTTTCCTTTATTCCTATAGCACTTGTCTGCATGATATTGTATAGATATAGTAAGGAGAAAGTCTGTCTCGGTCATTCACAGGAGTTAAAGGATTAAGACACATTAATGGTAGTCAGGTATGTATGTCAGCTTCAAGAAAGACAGCAAACAAATATAAAATTATGTTGGCCCGTCACTTGTACCTAGGCCCTCCCTGAGGGAAACTACATCCGGGCTCCCCAATTATTGTTGTTGTTGTAACACGAAGTGCTCGTGGTCAAGCTCGGGAATAAAGACTGTGTTCATTGAGCCCTCGATATTGTTTGAGTCGTCTGTACTGCCTGACATGGTGTCAGGAGTGGGATAGATCCGATAAATCGACAAGAGAAGCATTTACGGAGAGCAAACGTACATTTAGCGAATTCAACGACCGCAGCCGACTCGTCAAACAGCGATGGCGAACCTCAAGCGACCTGAATTGAAACTCGGCGGGAATATGTCAGAAAATTTCAAGAACTTCGAACTCAGATTCCACGACTACTGCATCCAAGCAGACTACCGAAACTTAGCGAAAAACCCCGAGACAGAGAGAGCAGATTACTACAAGAAACCGTTACTGGAAATATCAGCGCTCCGATCGGCAATGCCGGACGAAGCCTTGCAAGTGATCCGTTACACAATTGAACCCCAGATAGCAGCTGATGATCAGAAAAAACCATGGATCTGGATGGACAAATTACGACTTCATTACACTGGATCTATCGGAAGCTCCCTATTGGCGGACAGATTTAAATTCTGGAACACTCAGCAAAGCCCACACGAATCTGTTCAGGAATGGGAAGTTAAGGTCAGACAGGCGGGCAGCCTGTGCTCGTACAATGCACTGACCGACGAAATGTGCCGTGACAAATTCGTTTTTGGCTTGCACGATGGCACAATGAGAGCTGAGTTACTAAAAACGCATTTAAAGTCGGACGGAATGCCCAAGAACATGCAAGATGTCGTTGCCGAAGCCAAGGCCCTCGAGTCAGCCCAAAAAGCCAACAAACTCATAACAGACGCCACAAAAGGAATCGAGGAACAAGTTAATTGGATAAGCCACAAACAAATGAAACTAAAGCGGGAGCCTGGAACCTGCTTTTGGTGTGGAGACCGACGCGGACCTCACCCCTGGAAAACATGCCCTGCAAATGGCAAAACCTGCACTAAGTGTGGAATTAACGACCACTTCTCCAGAGTCTGTCTCGAGACAGGCGCCCCCCAACATGAACAACCAAGGAGAACTACCCAATGGCAAGCTCAGGGTAGGGGGCGAGGCCACAGAGCACCTCGCGGCCGGTCCCAACAAAAACCCCCTCGTGAACAAAACGTACACATGCTGCAGATGACAAATGACCAACACCCTGTGGAGTACTACACTGATGACTACCAAGAACAGTGCTACTCCCTGGAAACACGGCAAATACACAGTATCCACACAACCCACGCAAAGAAAAAATACTTTGTTACACTGCCCATGTCTGCAACAGGGAACAAATTCACCCCAGTGACATTCCAAATAGACACCGCCGCCACCTGCAATACCTTGTCTGAAGATACCCTTTTCAGGCTGATGCCAAACATGAAGCTTAGAAAGTCACCCTACCTACTACACCCCTATGGCGACTCCCAGCCGCTGAAACCACTGGGGCAGATCGACCTTCTGTGCGAAAGAAACAAACGATACGAATCGCTCACATTCCTGATACTTCCTAGGGATGTCATGATGAACAAACCAGCCCTTCTCTCTGGCTCCGACTGCGAGGCATTGGGGCTCATCACCATCAGGGCACACGAAATATTCTCACTCACATCAGCAGTAAGAGACTCGTCAGGCAAGAGAGCCCCTACCTACCCAGCCAGCTCGCCACAAACCAATCCAGACCCAGGCGACCCAGCAGCTCAAGCCAACGGTACACTCAAGGGAGTAAAAGGCCGCCACCCTGACCAACCCGACAGTGCCAACCCATACGGTGACCCAGCAACGCCCTCACCTTCTAAACCTATAATGATCCCTTCCAAACGACGCCTGGCCCCACCCGGGAACCTCACCAAGGAAGACATACTAACACAGTATCCTGAAAACTTCGAAGGCCTTGGCTGCCTGGGACCCCCAGTTCATTTCGAAGTAAAAGCTGACGTCTCACCAGTACAAATGCCAATACATCGAGTCCCTGTGGCAAAACGCATGAAAGAAAAGGAAGCCCTTGACAGATACACCGCAGCTGGTATCATAAAGAAAGTAGAGGAACCCACCTCGTGGTGCTCCAATGAAGTCATTAAAGAGACACCAAAGAAGACAAGAATCTGCATTGACCCCAGTCAAACAGTCAATAAAGGAATTCTCAGACCAGTGTATCAAATGCCAACACTGTCTGAACAGCTCCATAAACTCTGCCATGCCAAATGTTTCTCACTTGTTGATGTCAGAGAAGGCTTTCTACACGTACCACTTGATGAAGAATCGTCACTGATGACGACAATGCACACGTCTTATGGGAGATACCGATGGCTCCGCCTCCCATTTGGCATATCAAGCGCTCCTGAGGAATTTCAAAAGCGCCTCATGTCAGCTCTAGAGGGTCTTGATGGAGTATTATGCATCTCCGATGATATACTTGTGTTCGGAGAAGGAACAACCTACCAAGAAGCTGAGAAAGACCACGACCGCCGTCTTGTCGCACTTATGGAGCGCTGCTCCAAAAAGAACATAAAATTAAACCAGAGCAAACTGCAGTTCAAGCTACAACAAGTCAAATTCATGGGCAACGTCATAACTGATCGAGGAATGCAAGCAGACCCAGACAAGATAGCAGCAATCTCAGCAATGGCCCCACCCCGAAACAAAGCAGGTGTTCAGCGATTCGTGGGAATGGCCAACTATCTCTCACCCTATTGTCCAAACCTCAGCACCATCATCCGGCCTCTCACCCAACTCACCAAGTCAGATATCCCCTTTATGTGGGCACAAGCACAAGATGACGCATTTAACAAAGCCAAACACCTCATCTCCACTGCACCAGTGCTCCAATACTATGACCTCAGTAAACCGGTCACACTTCAAGTCGACGCTAGTGAAGAAGGCGTGGGCGGTGCCCTCCTTCAGCCCAATAGTGAAGGACGCCTCCAACCCGTAGCATACACATCAAACAGCCTCAACGCAACAGAACAACGATACTCCCAAATCGAAAAAGAGTGCTTGGCCATTTGTAACGCATTTGGAAAATTTGACCACTGGCTCTATGGCAAATCAGATATCGAAGTTCACACCGACCACCAGCCACTTGAGACCATCTGCAAAAAACCTCTGCACAAAGCCCCAGCACGGCTACAGAAAATGCTAATGAGACTGCAGAGATACCGCTTCACCATCCAATACAAGAAAGGAACCTCACTCTACCTGGCAGACACTCTCTCAAGAGCAGCACTACCTACCCCAGTACATGCCAGGGTCACAGGCTTTGAAGTATTCAGGACTGAACTCACAGAGGAATCCGATACCCACAACCCCCGCCTCACAGAAACCACCGAATCTCGCCTACGCGACGAGACCAAAAAGGATGAACACCTCTCCAAGTTAATGGCCACAATCGCCCAAGGCTGGCCGGATGACAGAAAGCAGCTACCACAACCACTACGAGCATACTAGACCTACAGAGACGAGCTAACCACTGACAATGGCCTCATCTACAAAGGCGCCCAAGTTATGATACCGCAGTCCATGCAAGCTGAGATGCTGCTGAAAATCCATGCAAACCACTTTGGTCCTGAATCAAATGTACGCATGGCACGAGACGTACTATTCTGGCCCGGGATGAGACAAGCAGTGTTTGATATGTGCAACAACTGCAGTACCTGCGCACAGTATGGATCAAAGTCAACAAAGGAACCTATGCGATCACTTCCGATTCCAACACTACCATGGCAGATCATCAGCCAAGACATCTTCCAGTACAGACAGAAAGCCTACCTTGTAACAGTGTGCCATTTTTCTGACTGGATCGAAGTGGATGAACTTGACGACACTTTGGCAACATCAGTCATTAACAAAACCAAAGCTCATTTCGCCAGGTTTGGCGTTCCACGTATCTGCCACACAGACAACGGACCACAATTCACCAGTAAGGATTACATGGACTTTGCCTCTCAGTACGGGTTCAAACATACCACCTCAAGTCCCTATCACTCCCAGGGCAACGGCCGAGCCGAGGCAGCAGTGAAAGTATCGAAGTCTATGCTAAAGAAATCAGATGACTTCCAAATCGCCTTGCTCAATTACAGAAACACACCACCAAAAGACCACACCTACTCTCCTGCCCAACGCATGGTGAGCCGCCGGACACGAACGACGCTCCCAACAGCTGACCACCTTCTCGAGCCCATGTCAATCAACCGTGACACTGTATCAGCAGAACTCAAGGCCAAACGCAACACCAGTAAAGCTCACTATGACAAGACTGCGGGCCCAGAGCAGAATAGCATCAACATTGGTGAATTTGTGTATGCACGACCACCGACAAGCAAACCAGGCAACCCTTGGGCATATGGCCGTGTCACCGGACAACGCCACTCAAGATCTTACACCATACAAACGCCCCACAGTACCATTCGACGAAATCGGATACACATCAGGCATGCAGTACCTCCTCCTCCCCAAACACCACCGTGCACCCCACCCACGCTCACGCCTAGACCAGGCCACAGCCTTGCAAATCACTACAATCGTCTAGGATCAGAGCTGAATATGCCCACTAATCAGCCTACACAGCAACCACCTCCCTCATTGGACAAAAGTAACAGCGGCCCAGTTCTCGACACCCCTTCCCCTCCACAACCACAAGAACCAAGCACACCAGCCACGGGCCCAAGTGAGCTGCCTATCGACACACCCCTTGCTACAATTCAAGAACAGCCAAGGGATCACCAACCCGAAATGAGAACACGCACAAGACTCATCAAACCACCAACTCGGTTCAAAGACTTTGAACTCAAGTAATGCCTGCCATAAACGTTCGCGCTGCATAACAGCACGGTTGCAGAACTTTCCATGATAACAGTCCGAACAGAACCTTATATAAGGCTACACCTGCCTACTTTACTCTGTTCTATTTACTATTAATTTTTTTTTCTTTTTTTTTCAAAGAAGGGGGGATGTTGGCCCGTCACTTGTACCTAGGCCCTCCCTGAGGGAAACTACATCCGGGCTCCCCAATTATTGTTGTTGTTGTAACACGAAGTGCTCGTGGTCAAGCTCGGGAATAAAGACTGTGTTCATTGAGCCCTCGATATTGTTTGAGTCGTCTGTACTGCCGAGACTTTGTGGAAAAAAAAAAGAAACCAGGGCAATAAAATTAAAGATTCAGGAGAAGCATATGACACTAACTAGTTTGCTGATGTTCTCACCTGAATTAAATCTGGAAAGAGAACTCTGCAACACTTCTGTTTTATCTCCTCACACTTGAATTAAAGCATAAAATTTAATTATTTGCAGGGAGGTAAAGGAGGAAATTAAAAGGAATGGATACATGTTACATAGAAAGAAACCCAATTCAATAAAATAAAGCAGAAGCATATTACCTACGCGTCTATGCTTTCGAATTCAACTACAATTGTTGCTAATTTTAAAGCAATTACCTACATATGTAAACCGGGTGCAATATACGGTCGCAAAAGCAGTTTATTCTGACCCTCCTCCTTGAGGGGTGTCTTGTGTATCAAATACAGTATTGTGCAAAATTAATGCAAGCCAAATGCGCGAATTTGGTTTTTTGTCCTCGCGAACTTTCTTCGAAATTTCGTGCGAAAGTTCGAATGACAATTCGAGGCTTTTTTAGCGAATTTTCCGTTCAACAAAGAGCGCTATTTCGTCGAATTTTCACTTCAAAACGAAAGTTCAGCGAAACTTCGAGATCAAAAGCGTCGGTTGACTGCCTACTGCTCGAAATTTCGCGCTGGATAGACTCAATTGTTGGCCATGCAATTTACATAATCTATCTTTCATATAACGTTCACGAAATACACGATAGGTCTTTGGCTGGAGTTAAGTCACGAATACAAACGATAAGAAATACTCGGTTAACTTACCAAGAATAAGGACTTTAAGTTTGGTTTTATACCAGAAAAGACAAAACATAAGCCTGTTCTGATCATTGTCATCAGTTGCTGCTGTAATAGTAATTTTTCTGCTTTCGCGATCTTCGCACCGTGGACGAACTAACGAGAATTCCACGTTTCGCAAGCTTCATTCGAATCTTTGCGCTCGTCGTCTCATCATTCCTACGCATCTGTTGGTCTATGAAAGCTCTTGCTTCCATAGACCGCTTTTTCGGTCTCCCCGAACGAGGTAATTTGCAACGGAGCCAGTAAGACGCAGCTTTTTGATCGAGCGAGTGATGCCTCAAAGGCTCACTTGTAACCCTTCGCTTTTCAAGGTTATAAATATTCCAGCTGGATGGAAGCCCTAGTTATACAGGAGCTCGATTCGAGTTCTAGTATAGTTTGATATTTTTGGCATAATAACTACCAGAGTGCTACGAGATCGATGAATGAATGAGAGAATTGTATATGAAGCATTGATATACCATGCGTTGCCTTGGTTACGAACAGTTTACCGTCACGCTTCCTCGCGCGGAGTCTCGCCTACAAAACGGGAATTTCATCTGTAGTTATATGATGAAGTTAATCATAAAAAACGGCGCCCAGTTCAAGTTACTCTAGCGTGAAGTGATTGCGTGGTCGTTTGTACTGAGACTCGAACACCTGACTGTTCGTATCACATCAACAATCAAACATTCATTGAGGTTTCAACAGGAAGGAGTGATAGAATAGTTGCTTGAGTGAATGAGACTGATTTCTAATCTTTCTGCAATGCATTACAACAATACACGGACCACACTTCGCTGTAATAAGTTGAGCGAATTTTCTCTCGAAATTTCGCACCGAACTTTCGAGAAGAGCGAACTTTCCCTCTTGAGTTCGCAACTCACCAGCGTCCACAGCGAAATATCGTTCGTAATTTCGGCGTACTTAAAAAATAGGTGCTTATAAATTTCGTTAAAACCTCCACGTAAACAGGCCCTCAATCTTATTTTATTCCAACTTTGGGAAAGGCCATTACTTCGTTCTTAAGGTAAAACAATACCTCTTCGACAAAGCGCGATTTTTTTAAATGAATGAAGCAAACCCTGCGATAGTTAACTGAAGAGAGGATGATAGAAACTTGCTCACGCTGTTGGCTATTATTTGAAAACTTTCGAAGATAACTTCTTTTCCCTTAACACCTTGACGGTATAAACATTACAAAGATAGGACAAGAAATGAGTTAAAGAATACGAACACTCTGAAATGTTATTCGAGCGATGAACCGGCGCAAAAAGATTTTGAAGCGATGAATGCCAAAATCATTGTGTTTTACCGAAACGTGATTGAATTATAAGCTGAAGCTAGTATCAAACGACGATTGGTAAAAAAAGGTTCCATTTGAGGAACAAACAATCGGTTCCATTAGAGGGACATCATTAATATTGATTATGCGAACTGATTTGTTTTGTAATTTTACTACTTTAGAAAGTGAAGTATTATAATTATTTCCCCAGCGTATACATCTAAGTGTGGTGATCGTTAGGTGAGGCCTTAACTTTGTTAGGATATTCAGATTTTTACAAATTTTACTACTTATGTAATCATTATGGTCATGCCGAGTTATTAAGTCTATATAAACACCTAGGTACTTGATAAGATTGCTCCAAACAAATGTTTTCTATTTGTAATAGTGGATATAGATTTTTATTTTTCTTTTACCGAGGTATAAAGATAACATATTTAGTTTTGGAAAGATTTGAGGCCGGGTTAGTTAGTTAGTTAGTTAGTTAGTTAGGCCACATAACCATTCATAAACAGTACGTAGACGGTTATCTACGTTATCTAATAGAATGTCGAGACTGGTTCCAGAGGCTGTTAGAAAAATAAGTAGTTGACTAAGAAAAATCTTTGATATAGATAAGAAATAGGAGAGGTCCCAGCCTAATATGGAACATTGGGGTACGCCAGAAAAGATGGGCCTTATTTTCCCTATACAAAATTCTAATTTATTGAGTTGGCCCTTGCCGACAGGAGAAATCTCTCTGGCACACGGCCAGAATTGGCCTGTGGCAAATTTCCAGTTGTCAATTTTCGTCATCGACATCCACAACACTCTTATTGCAACACTCTCGATTTTCTCTCCGTTGTTGCTGATTCAGTCACTAACAAAGATGTAAAATGAGTCACAACTGTTTTAGATGTAAACTGTTCTCAAATAGTCCTGCCAACAAAAAACCTTTTACTTTTTCCTCAGTAAAAAATGTTTATTTTGGCATTCTGGTTTGCAAGGGGATCTGTGTTCTTTGTGAAGAAAGACAATACATGCAGCTGTCATAAATTAGTTGTTCAAAATGTTTGAGTTATTCGGCCAGAAAGTTTTCGCTGATAATCAATAACTCGATTTCGTCGAGTTATCGACATCCATAACAACAGTTTAAACTTTAGAGTAAGTAGCCCACTATTGCTTTGTAATGCATCGAGATATTCCTCCATCTAAGGGTGTTTCAAATTGTGTTAGTAGAATGGGAATCTGACAACTCTGTTTAAATTTAAGGGGAAACGAAAATCGTTATCATTATCTAAGATTTCGATAATAACTGATGAAGAGCTTAAGGAACCGAACACTGCTTACAATAAAACAAATTTAGTTCCTCTTTAGTTAAAGTAAAAGAGTGAAGTAAAGAAAATTGCAGTGATGGCTTTAGCTACCGGCCAAAGGTACTCGTGATTGTTACAGCTTACAGACCAAACAGAAGTCGAATGACAGTTTAAAAGATTAAACCTTTCGCGCAAAAGCTGTGGTACGGGTTCTATCAGACAAAAAAATGTTAAAGCCAGAGAAAGTTCATGTTTGCATGACTGGAACCAGCACCGGTCCAGTGCTAGATGTAAGCGACAAGACTGAAGGTTTACACTTACTCTTGACGCTTATATCACTCACTGGACTGGAATTGAAGTTAATATCCTAGTTATTATAGCCGGGGTGACCCTGGTATGCATCTTTCATTTATTGTAAACTATTTTTAACTTATAAGGAGCTTCACACCTAGAAAAAATAATTAACCTAGTCGATTCAAAATAAGATAAACAGTTTTAAAGATTAAAGTAAACATGATTTAAAGTAGATTCAACATCGGTTCTTAACTAAAGATTCGTAGAGGAAGCCTAGTCCGGCAATGTGAGCTTCAAAAGTCCAGTTAATTAACAAATAGAGAAGCCTTGAGTGTGCTCTGTTCTGTTATAAAGCACTTGGGAAGCGGTTAGAGCACTCAAGGCATAGTTTTTCCGTGTTAACATACTTGTACTTCCATCTAAACACGAGGGAGAGTTGGGAGAATCCGACAAAGTTATGCAAACCCTCGACAGCGTCTTGGGTTTGCATAACTTTTGAGGACGGAGGACGTACCTAAAATCTTTATATTAATCTCAACATTGATTTCGTAAGGCTCCATATAGAATACCTCGCATTAACCGGCTATGCACGCTTCAGTTCTGGGAACGAAATGAAAATGTGTCGAGCGGTTTAAAAGTTGGCTAAGTTAAACGGTGTTGCGTGATATGACAAAACCGTACTTGTTATGAATTATGTGTGCATAAGCTCATGGGCTACAGCAGGAAAATCGACTTAATTGGTGAGTTGCTTCACTCCACCTTTCTGCATCACCAAAAACAAACTGAATTTCATGCCCTTAGCCAAGGAATAAGTCAAATTCTGGCAGCAGCACGTAGTGCAAAAATTTGCACTGAATTGAGTCGAAAACAAAAGTTTCATTCAAACTAATTGAAAACTGTATTGGCCTATTCAATACAACTTTCGAAAATGACAAATTCAAAAGATTTAAGCGGTCAAAAGATAATTAACATGAAAATTCAAAGTCCATAAACCACAGAAAAAGCCCAAAGATTTACGATGCA